CGCGCCAGCACGCCTCGACGTGCGGCTGCTTGAGCTCGGCGTAGAGGAAGCGCGGCGGCGAGCGCGAAAAGAGGCGCTGTCCGCCTTTGAGCACGTCGCACTCGGCGCCTGGACAAGCGAAGGAGGGGCTCGTGAGTCGGGAAGGGCCTACCTCCCTTGAGCAGGCCGCGCTCTCGCGTCTCCCTCCACGTCCATCTTCACCACCGCGAACCGCGGGTCCCCCCACCCCTCGAGCAGCGAGTCCTGTTCACAGCCCGCACCTCTCTGTGAAGAGGCGCCGTTCACAGAGCAACCACCCCACCCCTCGAGCAGCGACGCCAGAGTCGTGAGCGTCGCAGGCTCGCACGCCAACCCGCCGGCTCGTGCCGCCTCGCACCCCTCCGCTCGCCCGCACCGCAGCACTCCATTCCCAGCGTTGTCGCCCGCCGAACCGCTCACCTGTTCACAGCAGCGCTGTGAATGGGCGCGGCTGCACGCCGCTGTGCACAGCCCCGGCCCAACTCGCTCTACCACGCACGGCCCTGCTGCGTCTGGCCCGCCTAGAAGGTTCCAAGAAGGTTCCTACAGGGTTCCTTCCCGTCGGCCCTGCTGCGTCTGGCCCGCCTAGAAGGTTCCAAGAAAGTTCCTAGAAGGTTCCTCCCCCTCGGCCCTGCTGCGTCTGGCCCGCCTAGAAGGTTCCAAGAAGGTTCCTAGGAAGGTTCCTCCCCCTCGGCCCTGCTGCGTCTGGCCCGCCTAGAAGGTTCCAAGAAGGTTCCTAGGAAGGTTCCTCCCCCTCGGCCCTGCTGCGTCTGGCCCGCCTAGAAGGTTCCAAGAAGGTTCCTACAGGGTTCCTTCCCGTCGGCCCTGCTGCGTCTGGCCCGCCCACTGCGGTGGCGGCCAGCGTCACCTGTTCACAGCTCGGCGCTGTGAAGGGACGCCGTTCACGGGCCGGCCCGCGGCGGTGCCGGCCAGCCGTCGCCGATCCGTTCCAGGCAGGGTTGAGGCAGAGAGTGGTGCGGTAGGCGCGCTGGTTCGTAGGGAAGGCCTGCGTGCCATGACAGGGTTGGCTCGAGATGGCCTGGCGCGGGGGTGGCTAGCTTGCGAGGGGTCCGCCTCGACGGCATAGACACGGCGTCCGCCCTGCGCAAAGGGCCAGCCACAGGAGTCATGGTCCAGTGAACACGGAAGGAGAATAATGGTAGTTGGTGCTTGTGTGTGTGTGTGTGTATGTGTGTGTGTGTGTGTGTGTGTGTGTGTGTAGCGCCATGGTGATGACGGCACCTGCGCAAAGAGCCACGAGAACCAGCCGAGGTTCGAGCCCACGTCGAGAAGGGCCCCGCTGGCAGGCAGCGCGTACCTTCCGACACAACGGCACACTGAGGAGGAGGAGAGAGAAGCAGCGGCAGCAGCAGCAGCAGCAGAGGAGGGCGCCTCCCGAAGATTTGCTCCGGCGAGCGTACGTCCCAGTGGCCCAGCTTGGTCACGGACCACGAGACGATGTCGGGCCGCGACAGGACCACCATCCGGAAGCATCCGGCCGCGGCGGATGCCACGGTCAGGCGGAGGCCGGAGCAGGTAGCGCACGCGAGAGCTGGGCACTCTGCGGCGGCGGCGGACGACTCTCGCGCGTCGGGCTCCCAGATGGAGTGCTTCCCGTACTGGCGGCCCACGGGGCACTCGTAGCCGGGGTGCGTAATGGGGTCACGACGCTGCCGCTGCGACCAGCTCTGGCGGCCCGACATCTTGGGCTGAATCAGAAGGGCCGCTGAGCCTTGACAGTCACGCGTAAAAGAAATCTGCTAGGTTTCAATGGACTCGGGAGCACCGGACGCGGCACAATAATGAACGAATGCGAAGCAGAAAAAAGAAAATGCGCGTAACAGCAATCAGAGGAGCCGGGGGAGCGTGATGGCTGCCTCACACTTGCCTGCCGATACGCCTCAGCCTCCGGCGCCGCCGCCTCCTCGCTCGGCTGACTCTGCGTTTGCAGAGTGGACCACTGCGGCACGCGTTTGCTGCCTCCTCATGCGGCAGCGGTTGTGGCGCTCTGCCCGCTGGCTCCGTTACGCGGCGAAACCAATCGGCGCGCTCGTCTGCGTCTACTGCGTCTTAATGCTCCTTGCATACGGCGTGCTCGGCTACGCTGATGAGCGAATCTGGATGCTGTTTGTCGGCCCCGCCTCGCTTTCCTTGCTAATCATCTCCTACCTTCTCTTCTGCCACGTTTGCCCCTGTCTCCTGGCCCACGGGTTGCAGGACCCTCGAGCGGACACCCGAGCCGCTCTGTCTGTGCCGGCACGGCCTCCTGTCGGTCGGGGGACGTACACGGCTAGGACGGACGGAGCTGCGGTTTGCAAGCCGCCGAGTCGGCGCTGGCTGACTGCAGAGGTGGTCGACGCGTCTCTCGACCGAGCGAGCGACCGAGGCCTGTGGCTGGTCACGATGCCACAGAGCATCGTCTGCGTGGTGACCGGCCCATCCTTGACCCCGCCCCCGGCAGACGTTGCGTCACAGGTTGTGTAGCGGGCGCGGTCGACGCTGGTCTCCCATCGTACGCGTGCTTGCTTGCAGCCAGAGCTGAGGTTTTCTTTTAATTTTCAATCGATTTGAAGTGCCCCCGAGGAGGGGAGGCTAGCTCGGCAAAAAGTGATCAAAAAACCCTGAGACCTGACCAAATGGGGGCGGGCCCGGCGGGTGTGCGCGGACAACGCGAAGAGGTCCTCACGCACCGGAGGTCCTCATGCGGAGCGGAGGTCCTCACCCTGACAGAGAGGTCCTCACAGCTAAGGAGTAAGGTAGCTTGTTCTTCGAAGTAAGCAGCGACTCATCCGCTGACGCACCTGTTCCACGCGCGCTCCGAGTGAAGACCGAGCTTGAGCAAGCAGTCGTCAGAGGTGCGCGACGCAACGCAAGCAATGGGCTCACAGGAGCAGTCGAGGTGCGGGTTGGGTTGGGGAAACATCTGTCAAATGCAGGTGTATTTGTGAGGCCAACGAGGTGTTGTGCTTGATGAAGATTCCGTTGTGTCGTTTTCTAGATTGTTGATGTTGTAAAATTCTACATTGATTGAGTAGCAGCGAATTCATCCTCTGACCCTGTTCCTAGCATAGGTGCGGACTGGCGCGTGCTGGCACTAAAACACAGGCAAACCACCGGAGCCGCCTAACTAAGCGACTGTGTGAGTACTGTGTGTACTCACTATCTAAGTAAGTAAGCGACTCAATCAAGTGTAAGAACGGCAGATTGAAGCAGGAGATGTTGTCGGACCGCCCGCCCCCCCCACGAGGCAGTTGGAAGAAAAAAGTCTTTTGGAACTGTTGCGAGGCTCGGGTTTTGTTTCGAAGGCTCGGACCTCTTTTCCTCTTGCGGCTTGCCGACCCGCTCCTCTCGGCCGCAGAGCAGGCACCATCCTTTGCCCAGTCGAAGAGAAGAAGCGAGCAATCGTCGTCAACGCGAAGAGGTCCTCACGCACCGGAGGTCCTCATGCGGAGCGGAGGTCCTCACCCTGACAGAGAGGTCCTCACAGCTATAAGGTAGCTTGTTCTTCGAAGTAAGCAGCGACTCATCCGCTGACGCACCTGTTCCACGCGCGCGCTCCGAGTGAAGACCGAGCTCGAGCAAGCAGCAGTCAGAGGGGCGCGACGCAACGCAAGCAATGGGCTCACGGGAGCAGTCGAGGTGCGGGTCGGGTTGTGGGGAAAACATCTGTCAAGGATACGTAACAAATTCCGAAAGATGCAGCATTGTGTTGTGGAAGTGTCAAGGATTTATTTGTGCGGATTGTCTGGATTTGGATCTCGGCATTAATAGCCCTTTCTTACTGTGTCAGCGGGGCGGGTCATCCTTTACCCCCCCAAAAGAAACTAATGCTTTTGTTGTGTCATCATTCTAGATTGAGCTCTAGATTGAGTCGCAGCGAATTCATCCGCTGACCTGTTCCTAGCTAGGTGCGGACTGGCGCGGCTAAAAGCAAACCACGACTTGGGCGCGCGTTTTGTGTTTCCAAATTCCAGGATTTGTTTGTGCGCTTATGCATGGACTCGCTCGTCACTAAAGGAAGACTTCATTTGTTGTGTATCACTCGAGATTGAGTAGCAGTGAATTCATCCCCTGACCTGTTCGCTGTTCCTAAGTGCGGACTGGCGCGTGCTGGCACTAACACAGGCAAACCAATGGATCTGCCGGCCGTCAACCCAGTTTAGTTAGCCGGAGGGTCGTTCCGTTGTGCTACGCCCAGCGAGCTCGGGAGGCTTCGCGACCAGCAGCTGCTTGGCCTAAGCACAATATTCTCGAATATCTCCGAGAATATAGATGGTCCCGCGCACTTTCGTATTCGAGAATATTCTCGAGAATATAGATGCCCCGGCGCGGCTTTTTCTCAAGAATCTATGAGTTTTCTTCAGCCCTTGACCTTGGTTGACCTCGAGTCTCAAGATATTCTTGAATATTCTCGCCGTTACATCGCGGCGTCTAGAACGGTCTTGACTAGAGCTTCTCGAAACAGCTCTTTTGCCCCCTCAAAAGTAGGTTTTGGGTCGATGCAGACGGAAATCTTTAAGTTTTGGACGTTCCTGAGCGGTTTGGGAGCACAAACCTCTACTTTAGAGCGATTTTTGGCGTCCGCTGACCTCTCGCGTGGTGAAAATATTCTCAATATTCGAGAATATTCTCGAGAATATAGATGGTCTGGCGAGAATATAAGCAAAAGAATATAGATAGTACTTGGCGAGAAAAACGTGCTTAGGCTAAGCAGCTGCTCGACCGCGCGGGCCACCTGCACTGCGGAGCCTGCGCGGCCGAGGAAAGTGGGTTAAATCTGACCACGAGTTTGGGGCTACCCTGGCTACCCTGCGTCTCCAAACGCGATGAGCCTATGTGGGAGTTGACCGTGGTGATAGTGCGAGGGGGACTGCGGCCACCTGCGGCCACGCCCAGCTTGTGCAGGAGCTCGAACTCCGCGCACAGCGCGAGGGAGACGCCGTCCATTTTCTCCTTGCTCAAAGTCGCGCGCAGGGCGGCGCGCTCGGTGAGACCGAGGCGTGCGAGAGCCGGGGAGTGCTCGAGCCAGACGGCCACCTCGAGCACGCTCCACTCCGCCGGCGGCTTCTCGTCGAGCGAGGGAAGAATGACCTCAAGCTCCTCCGCCGTCTTCGCCGCCTCTGCGGCCTCGAGGTTTCGCTCAGCAATGCAGTAGCGAAGGAGAGCCACTCCAATCAGTAGGGAGACCGCCCCACAGAGCACGCCGACGGTGATCGCCCACACACCGTCCATAGTGCTGGTCCGCCCGTAGTCGTCAACAGAGTGGAAGCCGGCGGGGATGAAGAGGATCGTCCACAGCAGCCCAAGCCGGCGCATCAGCGAATACAGGCGCGCAGTGCGGCGCTGGAACGCCGCCGACCCCAGCGCCTTCTCCTCGTGCGCCGAGGCTGCGTTCCGCCCTGAGATCACCGCAACGCTGAAGATGTACCATCCGGTGATGATGTACATCGCATACGCGCACTCGTCGGCGATGCTCTTCTCGTAGAAGCCAACTGTGCGCGGGGGGGGCATGGCTCTGGTGCCCACAGAGTAAGGGTGACGGCAGGGCGCCAAACCCACAACTAGGGCGGGAGAGGTTGGGCTAGGTTCTTAGCCGGGGCTGGTTAGGCGGCGCGCGCCGGTGATCATACGAGGATTGACCGAGAGGTGCGCCGCGATCGCGCCAGAGATGAGGAGGATGGAGGAGATGGCCGCCGACTGGTCTATGGCGTAGACCGGCTTCTTCCACTGCAGCTGCGGGGGGGGGGGGGGGGGCATGGGGATCCCGAAATTGGGGGGTTTCAACATCCCCCTTTTGGGCACCCCCCCGTGGTGGTGGTGGTGGTGGTGGGTGGGTGGCTGGGGGGGGGGGTTCCCTCCCCTGGGTTGCGAGGGGGGCCCCAAAAAATGGCATGAGCACCAAAAAACCCACAAAACGGGTTGGGGTC